CAAACATAATGTAGCCCCACTGGAGAGACTGTACTTATGCGATGGGAAGTTCTGGGAGAGATTTCCTGGCTCACTAAGGAACCTGGGACCTGAAAGTATAAATATTAGTGAAAATTAAGACTTTTTCAAGTACTTTGGAAAAAAATGGCTTCCTGATTCTCAGCAACTTCTTAAGACTAAGGGGTTAGCGATGCAGTTGGCAAGGGCCGGGCTATTTGTATTTATCAAGTATCTTTTTTTCTATTTATCCAAGAACTGAATATTTAGGATTTCCATGGCAACATATTTCTGGACCCATATTACAGTCAGACTGACGCGTGTCAACTGATACAGGGATGCAGGAGGTGGTGGCTGAATTTATTCAAGCAATCACATTCTCTTTTCCAAGGCTAATGCACATGAATACTGAGTTCGCAAACTGAATTGACAGGGATTCCATCTCAATGAACATGTATAATGTTCCAGCCCAGGAGAGTAGCATTTAATTGATGAGTGGGATTATATTTACATAGCAATTATAGCAAAGTCAAGGTTGGCTTTATGTGAAAGACTATTTGTTGTAATATCTTGCTGCTTGGTTGTCCAGGAAAGCTGTTCCTGTATGGGGGGAGAAAAAAAAAATAAAATCAGAACAGATGCACTCAGCTTTTACACGTGCTTCTTTTCATGTTCTGCAAATACTCACTTCATGAAGCCAGCTCAGGAGTCACATCGTGGTTGCCTTAGATACATACATTAATTTACTCCATTATAACTTAGATGCTGATTGTTTAACTGCACAAGTATTAATAGTTATTCGCTGCTATCCTCAAATGGCTGTTCGGTGGCTAATGTAAAATGAATAAGGGCTCATTCTAAATCCCATATAAGTCAATGGGCACCTTTCTCCTCATTTCATTCAGAGCTGGAATTAGCTATCCCTGCTGCAGTGCCCCCAGATATTAATTTTTTGTCCTCAAGACACCTTTGCAAGGTAAGGTAATGCTACGGACTCGGTTTCACAGATAGGAAGCTGGAGCCCAAAAGGTTACCTCAGAATCATCCAGCATATACACAGAGGTCCTGACCCTCATCGTCCCTTTGATCTGGATTTCCTTCTGTTGACAGTGGGATGTGGAGAGAGGAAAGGTGCGTGCTGGAGTTTGGCTCCAACATGGAGTTGAATTCAGGGGAAGGGAGGCAGCTGGACCTCGAAGCTGGGAGGCACTTTCACAGCTTGTAGTTGTGTGTAGTCAGACAGACCAGCAGCTGTATTCAGTTTTCTACTTATGGGGCCTAGCATGGAGTTAAATTCTACTGCTGGCTCTGGAAACAAGCGGGTGGTGAGGAACTCAAACCATCTATTATCTACGGCATGGCAAGGAGAAGTATGCATGACACCTCTGCTGCGTGATCCAAATACCTCTAGACACTGAGAAGAAGGAAGAGCTGTCTCAGAGCCTGACACAAATGCCGTACTTGTCTTTCTTCATTGACTCATAGAGGGAGACAGGTCCTTACATCCTTGAATTCCCAGATGGTCAGAAGTGATCATCCTCGTCTTGAACTTTGACAACAGACAGTGTGTTTCAGGTCCATCCTTGTCACTACACTAGGGAGATATCCCTAGGTGATTTACCTAAGGATATACTGAGCTAGAGACAGGGAAATAAACTGAGGTCTCTTGAGTCTTCTACCACAAAAAGAGGGTTTTTTTTTTTTTTCTCTTAATCTAAGCTTTCTCTGCTCTCAGTCTTATTGCCATGGAAATTGTCTCCATAGCTGGTATTAGGATTGCCTTGTTGACATCATTAGTAAAGCGTATAATAGATAGCTGAACTGCTCTGATATTTATCTTTAGGTCAACAGCTATTGAGGCTCCAGAGGCAAATTAGAAAAAAAGTATAGACTCTTTATTAGTAGAACTTAATTTAACTGTATTTAAACTTCATTAAGGAGTAAAAAAAAAAATGACCTTTCTTAATGGACTCTTTCTTTATATAGTATGTAATAAGGATATTAGATTAGTTTGATCCTGGTTCTTATTATGCACACACAGTAGATGAGAATGCAAAAATTCCCTCATCCAGTTAGGTAGTCTTGGATGTCAAATCAAAGACCAGGTGCTCCACAAGCCCATTTCCTTTTTTTTTTTTTTCTCAGTGTTTTATGTTTCCTAGCCCTGTAATTCCCCCCAGGAAACCAGAAGAAATCTTAATTTCTTACCCACACCCACACACCCCCCACCATTAAAGTAACAGCTCTGGTCATTTAAACAATCAAGCACGTGTTCTTACACTGTCTGCACCTCATGCTATCCATAAATGGTGATGTGGTAAGAAAAACCGTGGAGGAAAGGAAAGGAAATGACATTAACCTTTTCCATCTGATAAATAAGGGCTCTATTCAGCTGCAATAATCCACATCCTTCCCTAGAGATCCAGTTAATGTAATACCTAAGGGCTCAGTTCATTTAAAATTATTTCCACACTGGCCAGCTGATTTCTTGGTGAATTATTCAGTCCCCAGACTGAAATATTCTCCCTTTGCAATAGCACATGGAAAAGGGCTAGAACTCTTCCATAGCTCCCCGTAGTCTGAACATCCTCTCAGAGGTGCCAGAGGGTCGATGGCATCCCCATAATTTATCTGTGTCCTCTAAATTAACAAGTTTTGTGCTGATTTTCATGGGACCACCAATCTGTATGCACTGAAGATATCGTTCTTTGTCCCATTTGCCGCTCTTCTCTGCAGGGAGCTTCTCACCTCCCTATCAAACTTTAACCACCTGCAGTTTACAGGTAGTAAAAGAGCATTTGAACTGTGAAATGAGTGGAAATTTAGAGCAACAGACTCGAGACGGTTCAAAAAAGGCAGCCTGGATTGTGCACGTTGTTGCTGAGGGTTGAGGTAATGGATGTGGACCATTGCAAGGCTGCTTGAGTGAGCCAGGCTCCTAAAGGCTAACAGGTGGGAACTGAAATGCTGTTCGTTTTTTCCCTTTGCAATACACAGGCGGCTCCAGTGTGACTGGTATCGGCTCAGCTTTACCTGCCCGAGAAGCTTGCCAAGACCAAGGACTGTTTGTAGCATTGAGGCGGATGTTTTCAAAGCAGGAGAGGGGAGCAGGCGGTACAGAATCCAACTGCAAATCAGTGGAAACACTAGTCTAACATCAGTAGCAATAAGGGAAAATTCCAGGTTTATGTTATTATTGTTGTATTGACCCACAGTCAATTGAAAGCCATGGGAATCTTGGCATTGGCATCAAGGCATTTGGGATTAAGTTCCTACATTATGAGACATGTTCCTTTGTCTCTCCCTCTTTTTTTTTTTTTTTTTTTTTTTTTAAAGGGAGTGTAACTAATTGAGTATAATAAACCGAAGTTGTACGCAATTTTGCAACTTTTCAGATGCCGTAATAAGCTGTACTCTGAGGGTTCGTTATTAGACTGTCTTGAAACTTGCTAGTTAAACAGGAAAAACAAGAAATCTGACCTCACTGTAGTACTTAATTGAAGCGCATTTATTGACTGATTTTAAGCTCTTATAGCAACTCCATTTGCTAAGAACTATGGGCCAGCTCTTGGCTTGTGTGGCCCCTGAGCTCCTGGGGTGGACACAGCCTACACACACAAACACGTCCCGCTCCAGGCTTGCATCAGAGGGTTGGGCTGGGGCTGAGCAGAAAGCTCTAGCTGGAGACTGGCACACTGGACCTTGTTGCCATGCTGCTCAGCTTCTCGCCCCTTCAGGAGCCCACGGGCTGGCCAGCCCAGGGAGGGGTGAGTATGCCAGAGGTAAAGCAGCAGTGTTGTGCTGGGTGATTTAGTTCCTGGCCCTTTGGTGTCGGGGCAGGTCACAGGAGTCAGCATTGAGAATAAACCCCCATGGATCTACCCTGCCTCCTTAAGGATTCTGCAAAGTTGCAAATCTTTATAAGGATCTGGAGCTTCAGCCTCATAATGCTGAGGAGGGAGGACTGAGAAGAGTGTTATAAATCAGTGCCAAAGCAAGCTGCAGCTGGATCTCTCTGCTAGTAAATCTACCTTTGATACTGGCATGCACTTAATGCTAATACATTCTTATCCCCATCCCATCTGTATTAGAAATTAAGGCAGAAACATGAAGACCGTTACCATGCTGTAACCTTCAGAACAGTTTCTCACTTCATAGAGGCACTCAGCAGGCACTGGTGCATTCAGCCATGATTCATTATCACTGAACTTCGGGGCTGGCCTTGGCCAGTTTTGTCTGGATTCAGTGAACAAGTTCCTCTGGCAGGAAAGATTTCTGAGCATTTCTGTTATCTCTCTGGAAATCTTAAGTAGGGAGCTGAACACGATTGAGAAGAGTTGCCTGATAGAAGAGACAGAAAGAAAATGCATTTTGCCAGAGACTAAAGAGGAATGGAAGTGGGTCCAGGAATAGGACGTGGCTCTGCCCTGGTATAAGAAAAAAATCTGAGCTAGCGAGAGGTGGCACTGGACATTACTGTATGTGATGTCACACTGACTTTGTGCGAGGCCCATTGAATTCACCTCTAATCTAGCTCACCGTAACGTTAAAATGGCAGGTTTTATTTTCCAAAAGTTTTGGAACAGTTACAGCGTTGTGGAGCTGTTGCTTATCACTGAGTAGGGTAATGCCAGCCCTAGTGTCACAGGTAAATGAAGTCACTGAAACTTCATTGCTCTAAACCCACTGCAAATCGGACCCTGAGGAGATATTGATTCTATTCAAGGAGTTTGTGATGCAAATTTATGCAGATGACTGTCATTAGTCTACTATGTTTGCTTGAAACCTCAGGGTAAAGAAGAGACAACGACTCTGCAGAGAACAGATTGCAGATTTGTGCCCGAACTGCCATCTTAGGAAAAGTATTAGAGCACAAAAGAGACTTGCCTCTCAGTTCTTTTGATAGATTGCAGGAAAGTGGGAGTGTAGAAGCTATTTCATCACCAGACACCAACCTCTCCGCTCTTCTTTCTTGGCATTTATTAACAACTCTTTCTGCCCAGGAGCGCCCAGAAGCAAAGCTGGGCAGAAGGCAGGTGGGCAGAGACACAAGCAGCAGTGGAGCACAGAAGTAGGAGCGGGCAGAGTCCTAAGCTGAAGATCCTATAGATAGGCTCAGGGTAAGATCACTGCGTCTTGTGTGCAACACTCTCGAACGGGCTGAGTTAAAAAACTTTGCAGTAGCAGGAGTTTCTAGGAAAATATTTTGTCTAGCAGGGGGAGGGGGAAGCCTGTGGAAGAACACAACTGAGTGTTGCTCCGTACTGCGTACGCCTCTTTTTACACTGACCTCATTTTTTGTGACCAGTGTGGCCTGCTAAAGATCCCTCGCAGCTCTCTGGGATTACTATCACATTTCAGGTGACAGAAGGCGAGCTTGTCTCTATGCAACCAAGTCAGAGGATGGAGTAGAACACTTTAAAATAACCTGCTTTCTGCTGTGAATGCAGGCAGGTCAGCAGCAGCAGAGGGTTCTGGGGGAAAAATGAGGAGTTCGGACATCTACTGGTGACTTTTATTATACATGGCGGTGGGATGCAAGGATAAAAATCCAAGGCCCAAAGATATTTGTGCTGCATGCAAAAAGCCCTTTCCACTTTTACAAAAATCCTCTTGTCAAGGCTGCCTTAAAGGGGCTATCTGTTGGATCAGTTATTAGAGAAATGGGAAAGGTTTGCTGTAAATCCCCTCCTTGCTTCATACTTATTGCAAAGTAGACCTTGAGCCTTTTTGAGAAAAAAAAAAAAAAAAAAAAAAATTGGAAAACTGCTGGGCTCCCAAATGTAGCATATTTCTCGTCAGTTCTAACGTGCTGAAAGGATGGGATTTTCTGCGAACTTTTCCCAAACAGTCTTGCTTTTTCTTTTTTTTTTTTTTTTTTTT